TTGCCTAGTCTGAGGTCTTGTAGTTAGATACCTTGACTGTGGACCCAGAAGTCTTGAGTACGATTACACCCGAGACAAATATTTGTGGGAGGAGTACTATTCTTTGTTCTATGCCTGGACGTAATGATGTGCATCGATAATGTATTCTGCACTAATGTACTTTGGTTACCTAAGGATCTGGTTAGTTTGGGATAATTATTCCATTGGGATAATTATTCAATTGGGACCAATAATTATTATTGTCATATCTCACAGTCGGCCATCTGCGAGTGTGAGATATGACAATAATAATTATTGGTCCCAATTGAATAATTATCCCAATGGAATTTGGCAGCTAAAAGTATCAAGTGTACACAGTGTGTAATGTCGTTTGGTGTGTGCAATTATATGTAAATCTGTGTGCGCGGGGGAAGGTCGGCGGCGGTGGCATTAGCGCGCCGTTATATCTGATAATACGAGTTTAAGTGTCGCTCACGTGTTCACGCACCTAATGACGCGGAGAACTACACTTGTGGCGCCTCTCGGGTGCACCTCCTGCAATTTATATTTAATTCCCGTATATAGAAATTAATACCGAGAGCGGTTGTAGGAATAGCTTGTTCAGTAGCTGTCCCTGTTAAAGGTTCGCATTAAGGTTGGGCGTAGAAGTACCCTTGCAGGTAAGTGTTAGATGATGTTTTTAATAATGTAAGGGGGAGGCAAGCGAGCAGACTGGTCATTCGATGGTAAGTGACTACCGTCGCCAATGGACACCTGCGACTCAAGCGTACCTAGTTCGCTGCCGTCCTCTGAATCCTTCCCCCAGAATCAGGGGATTCGGGCTCCGGTAACCTCAGTCACTTGGTGAAAAGCAACGAAAAAATTGTTTAACATCGTTTTCTGGTAGGCCGTGGTCTTACTCAGGTCGAGCTCAGGCAGGCCAGGAACTCAGATCCATTTGTGCTGAGATATGGCTCTCACACAAGCCACGGTAGAAATATGATCAAGAACGATGTTGTCTAACGGGTATTTAAGGTCTGTGAAGTTTTCGTCTATTGTTACCTGTTTATTTTCTTAACATAGATAAATATCCCTCTTGAAGTACAATACTTTTCTATTATTAAAGCGTGTGGGCGGTATTTTACTTACGTTCAAAGCAAACTTCATAGTAATTTACATTAGTAAAATAAATAATTCTCTCTCGCAACTTCTGAACATTTGTTCAACAACTAATAATGACTTTTGAATTGTAATAAATATTGTGTGTTAAGTTACACAAGTACTGACAATATATCTGCTTTTAATTCGGTTCTAGTAAGTTTTTGTTGAGTTGGGTGTATTTTTAAGACTGACTATGGAATAGGTTAATAAGGAGTATCAAAGATATAATATTCATTTAATGAAGTTTCCAATGCATTCGCAGCACATGATTCCATCGAACAAAATAGTGAAGTGCGAATGAACACAGTTACACTAAGATTACGCGGTAAGCATCGCTACCTATTTATTTATTTATCAAGTTAACTGCTCACTACGCTCAAAGTTTGTTCAACACGTGTAGTGAGTCATTACGATATTACAGTGTTACAAAAATATGATAATAACTATGTATATTAAAACTAAATTTACAAAAATTTAGAGAATGTAGTAAAAACTATGTCAACATCCGGATACTGTGTAATCAGGGAATTGAGCGTAGGCGGGTGCGCTGGTTACGTACATACTATGAACTTGTATCGCTTGAGTTGCAGATGTAGGCGGTAGTCACACCGTAAAAAACTGATAATATTATTTTTTAAAAGAATTCAGCACTCTGCTTAATTTTTTTCATAGATGAATTATAACCAGATATGATCTCGTCACAGAATTATTCATCCTCGGCGAGAATCGACCCCACGTCCTCCGGCTCAATCAGATAACAGGTCAATCAAATAACTGATTAATGAAATATAACTTTTTGTTATGTGAAATTGATTATTATTGTTACTCAAATACATATGAGGTTATTGGAAAGTTGAGGCCTTATCCAATTGTCAAAAAAGATTGGCTCGAGAGGCATCACGGGACCCTCTCATACCGGTTGACGCAGGTGATCACTGGAAAAGGATGCTTCGGGGATCACTTGGGTCTGATCCGCAAGGAGCAAACGCCTGGGTGCCATCACTGCGATGACCGGCCAGAATGCCCGGCATGGGTGGAGCAGAGGCGTTCCTTTCTAGGGTACACCTTGTGCCCCCGCTACTGGTACCCGAGACGGCGTGCGGTTTTTAGTCGGTTCGGTCGGAGTCTGACATAGCCACCGGTGGCTGGTATCCGAGAGGATTTCCACACAAAAAAAAAGAAAAAAATGAATAAAATAAATAGATTAGACAACATAACTCTACTTTGAGCTAAACCGAAAATATGATTTATTATATGAGGCAATTAACAATAAATTTGATATTAAAACAAAAGCTTTTAATTGATTATTCAAAACCGATTGTTTTAAAAGTAATAAAAAGATCGTGGGCTTACCGCACGAAACAGAGATTTAATTATATACATTATTTAATTGGTTTAGAATAATACTGATGAAATTAAATGATAAATCTTAAAAGCGAGTTCTCGTGAGGCCACATTTATTGAATATTATACTATATATATTATACACGAGAACTCGCTTAATTAGCGTTTAATTAGCAGGTATTACAAAAAACGTTTTTAGTTTTTTCTGTTTTATGAATACACTCACGTCTGTGCAATAAAGCAAATAGTCAAGTGGTTTTGTAGAGTGAGACAAACGACAAATTATCTCTTGCGGGTGTTTGTCCTTAACTGAAAGAAAGTCCTCGCCAATAATAGGAATAAATGTTTACAGCACAATTTCAAACTTAAGCAAGAATATAAACAGTAAAAATAGGTGTATATTTTTGAAATATTGGACAGACATAGTAGAATTAGTTAATAAAAGAAATAGAACTTAAGACTTATGTGACAAAATAATGTAACATTCTTATTGTTCAACATACTCGTAGAATAAAGATAGCAACTTAAGTAATAGAGTAAATTGTGTAGTATAATAAGATAATATTTTAGATGTGGTTTTTGAGTTTGTAGCCATAAGAAATGTATAATTAAGTATAGTAAATAAGTTGAAAACATGTAAATTTTTTTTTTTTGGTGCAATACATTAATTACCTAAAAGAACTAAAAAATTACGAGCAGTAGCAAAAGCGAGAACTGGAATAAAAAGCTAAAGTAGGCAATAGGCTCCAAAGAGCATTGGAGAAGCTAGTTTTAAAATAAAAAAAAAGTTTACAGCTAAGGACAGGCTTCTGGACCAATTTACGCCACATCAAGGTATTTATTTTAATGTATGCATATTAGAGAGCCAGGCTATAACAATCATTTGATTACCTTACTATACTAATCATTTAATTTTTTATTAAATGTACAAGACTTGACTTTATGATCGGTATTATCTCTATATACTTGATGAATAATTGTAAAGAGTATCCAAATTATAAAAAGGAAACGTTTAACATAAACTTAACTTACACTCGACTTATTTATATAGGTGCAAGCTTAAATGAATGGCCTCGTTACAGCGAGTGCCCTTAGACAAAAACGAACCGCAGTCCTCAATTAGAAACGGATATAGAGAAAGAAAACATGAGAAACGTCAGGAGGAAGTCACGTTTGAATATGACTTCAGAGGGGCGAGAGTTAGGTGATTCCCAATGTTCATTATAAAAAACTACCGGACTAATACTAATAAACTACCGGACTACTAACGGACCTGGAATAGATTACATATACTATATATTACAAATATATAATAGTTTTATTTTTATTTTTTTATTTAATTCTTTTGCACAAATACCTAACAATTGATTGGACAATGGCGGACTTAATGCCACAGGCATTTTCTCCCAGTCTACCTATGGGTGGTGGGGAAATGTCTGAGTAGGTGCACTAGAAATTAAGTTTTTGTGTTAACGAGATAATAATAATTAAGGATATGGACAGAACAGTGTGACAGATATACATACATACTAGTACATACTGAAATGCAACATATATGCTTATACTTGCTGAGTTACATACATAGGTACATATAATACAATATATAAGACTTTAGAGATGTGATGAATCTGCTAGTGTCCAGAATTCGAGCTCGGACTTTCGTCTTAAATGAGAGGCGGCTGGGTGCTATCCTAATTTCGAGAGGTAGAGCGTTCTAGAGGAGGATAGATTGGATTAGGAACCAGGAGTCGACACATGAGTAAAGTATGAGTGGGGATTTTTTTTGTACATTTCTTTTAAACTGTGTATTAATATTGGAAATAATAATAGTAGGTCAAAATATTCTTTCTAAGGAGAGGCCATTTATTATCATCATCATTTAACAGTCCAGCAGTGGACTATTAAAGGTTGTTGATGATGATGAACGTTGTCGGGTCGTATTGTCTTCTGCATGGGTGCAGTTATAGCTTTCTTTACTTTTAGGGATTGATTTTTTTAATGCCTAGAAATGTAACAGCGCCCATAGGTTTTCCACTTATGTTACAGCCGTAAGTAATACGTAGCCGTAAATACCCAAGGGAAACCCATGAGCGAATTATTGTTGAAAAGTAACGGTGTCTCTCTGGGTCAAACTGTCTTTTTCACTTACATCGCTTTACTCATATGGATTGAAAGACGATGAAAACGGTATGATATGTTTTAAAAATTTATTGAGTCATTACGTTTTTATATATTGCCTGCAAACCTATGTTCAGCAATCATAAACAATGTTGATCTATTAAAATACGAAATATTGTTTGTTATTGAATATTCATTTGACAAACCCCCAACGTAGTGTAAGTGTGATTTGTCAAAGCAACATTTTTGCTTCGTCCCATGACTCGGTACCGACGTCAGTGCATCAAATAAGAATTGACGGCTACCTACCTGAAACTAGCACCCATGACTTCGAAACTTGCTTTTAACTAGTAAAATAGCGCATCACTTTCTTTCTATGTAAAATATAATATTACGACATGGTGCCTACATTCAGTGGTATATCGTGTCGTGTATCACCGCTCGCTGGAGAGTTGGCTGCGTCCCGCGCGCCTCCCCCACACCGCGGCACGGCGTGTCTCTCCGCCAGGTGATTTATTACACTTTTTATTTGAACAACAGCCCCTCATTCATTCCCTTCCGACTATAATTGAAACTGCGACACCAGTACTCTGAGGACTTACTCACATTGACCTTTGCTGTTAGTGAAAATGTTCTATTGAACGAGGCAGAGTTATCAGCATTAAGTATAGTAAGTAAATATGCACTTGCTTAACGGCCTTCCCTTACATTCATTGCGAGAACTTCTGAACGGTGGTGTGTATGTCCGTGGTGATCATGTCACTCGGTTAATGAGGTATGAAAACCCTTACGAGAACCTTCACGATCAGTAGTTAGTACTTACTTGTTGCCGCTAGATGACGCTCATCCACGAGAAACAAATATTGACGACTGCATACGTCTGTCTCTTTACTAAAATGGTGATAATATCTTTTTAATGACAAGGGTACTTATTAGGTATTACTTGCTAAATGAACGTAGTATTCTGATCAGATATTTGTTGTAGATGTCAGTTAGGAAAGTTGTACGTGCGAGGTAGACCTCACTTACTGGTACCTGCAGTAAGTGAGGTCTACCTCGCACGTACAACTTTACTTACTAGACTCTCCCCGAGCATAGTTATAATTGACTCTAGCGGAGCACACCGGCATAATGTTAAGTTTGACACTCCTAATAAGAGTTTTATATCTTGTGAAATTTTTTATGGCCTTTATATCAGAATTATGAGTGTTATTCATAATATGATTGATAACTTGCTAAAATAGTTGAAGACATTGCGATAGTTAAAAGAGCTTTGTTTCTTGAAGTTATGAATTGAAGTGGAGTCACATTAGATTGGGGCTTCGTCCTCGGCGACCTGGCAGCCGAAGGTCGGACGTGACCAATATTTGAAAAGTAAACAAGCGCCCCGACGATAAATGCGAATAGTACAAAATGCAAATAGTTACCGAACTGCAATTCTAAACTAGAAATCGGAGACTTTGAGTGGCGACGGCTCTCAGTGGCAACTTTAATTAAACCTAACTTCTGAGATGACGTCCCACTCAAGATAATCCTGACAAACTATCTATATAGGAAATCGTTAGTAATATAAACCTTAGTGTTATGAAAATAAGGTGAGAATCAATTGTGAGCTATTAAGCTGTTGCGTCCTGCGACTGTGGGGTGTGGGGAGACTAATTCAGAAGTGTTCTACTTAATTTAATGCTTAGTAGATGTGTCGTGAGTCGTGCCACAGGACTCGAACTGAACCGTTGAACCTGGCTCCACACGCGGGCGGTGACTCAGTTTCCAGACAGCTTCCTTTAAATAAGCTCCCTATCTTTCTTAATGTATCCTTTTTTTGACGAATTACCTACATGTCATCATAGTAAACAGCTGATAATATGTAACATTACTATGTAAGCTGATGATTTTCATCTGTTATTAGAATTATTCTATTAAATGAAAGAAACAACGATTATGTGTCACTAGTTTTAAATGTAGTAACACTTTGAATGCCGAAAATCAAATCAACTTAAAAAAATAGATATTGAGTATCGACTTGGTTCTCCTCGTTCTTGTATACGTTGTCTACCACATCAGTTAAACAACGTGCTTTATTACACTTGATAAATAATAAGCTAGTTCCCGGTCAATGAACAATGTGCGACGGCAAGTCGTGACCATTCACCCAACAAATATCATGTAATGTTAATATCAATACAATCTAGGAGTGAGTAATAAATGCTCACATAAAACGCACCATAAGTGTTGGCGAACACGGCTCTGTGGCCAGTACATTGTTCACGCACGGAGTCGCACCTCACCGCTCCGCTCCGGCACGTACTAGTACACCGTGCAATGCGCCGCTCGACGCTCGCTCACGGAAGTAATTATCTGTGTGTGATTTCAATCACAACAACAGCACCGTGCCCTAGAGCCTCACGTCAAACTGGTAAAATTCTAAAAGCACCGTTTTTACCAGGAGACATTCACTCTTTTTTTTAATCTAAACGAAGAACATCAATACTGTAGCTACAAACTACTTTGGATAAATCAAACAAAATGCGACTAGGGCAATAGGTGTCGCTGTTAACAAGTCCGTACGCAATACAAATATACTAAAAAAAATAACTGTTACAATCTAAGATTGAGTAAACGAGCAAACGGGTCACCTGACGGAAAACCGTTGCCCATGAACACCTACAACTCTATAGTCACAAACGCGTTGCCGGCCGTTGAGGGAGGAGTACACTCTTTTCTTAAAGGTTTGGAGCTCGCATCGGTCCGGCTCTGTGACCTTATCGCCAGACCTAATATTTATTTATTTATTTTCTTTAAAAACAACTATTTTTACAGGCTTAGCCCAATGCAATAGTGTTATACCATCTACTTATTTATTATAAGAAATAAGTCTTAATGCTGTTATTGTGAATTCACTCAGTGAGCAATAAAATAAATCTACTTCGTCCGCAATTATATTCAGAGTACGTAGTGCGCGCGTCAGCGGTGCTTCTCTCTGCAGGTTGGTGCGCCCGCACGGGACAGCCAGCAGCGGCGGCCGGCGGCGCCGCCACACGTATCTGTCCGGAACACATATGCTGACTCGTCCTAACACGTCTTCATTATGTATCCCACCCCTAAGTACCCTAAACAGGTACGAGACGAGTGTGAGTTCCCTTCTGACCCTCAGTTCATGGCGCCGTGTGGGTCAGCTGTCCCGTAGCGTCGGCCAAAGTATTGGCCGACGCCGGCAGGCTGCTCATCGGTTTCGTGAGCGCCAGGATCACAGTCCTGGCGGCGAGACCGATGAGGTGCTACAAATGCCTAGCATCGGGACACACGCGCGTCAAGTGCGACAGCTGTTTTGACTGCGGCGGACTGTGTTTCCGCTGCGGTCAACCGGGGCATAAGGCGGCAGAATGCTCTGCCGCCCCTCACTGCCCAGTGTGCGCAATATCTTAATCAATAGGTGAACAAGCGGGCTGGCTGGTTACAATTTATTATAATGGGTAGTACAGTGACCTTGAAAATGGATATATTCCTTCTAAATAATAATAAAAATATTTCAGACATCTAACACACAACGCCATCTAGTTTTAAACTAAGCAGAGCTTGCACTAAGAAAGCTAGATTGACGGATAGAATACTTATATACTTTTTTTTGTAAATACATACATATTATACATAGGAAAGGCACAAACTCCGAAACAAATATTTGCAGAGCATACAAATATTTGGTTCAAACTCAAATTCTCTTTATTTAATTAAAAAATTAAAATTGTTTGAAATCGTATTTTATGTAGACTCTAAAGTCATAGATCAACACATACAATAGAACATTCCCTGTTTTGTCAAATAGTAAGCAAATAAATTCAATAAAAATTTAATTTTTACAAAATCTATGATATGCCTGTGCCGATCTACAACCGCCCGTTTCTAAGGTGTTGAGCCTTATGAGAAGAAAGACTTGGCACCGACTTCAAACTGACTAGAAGGGCCTATTGCTATTATAATGTTACCTGTTATATTGAGGATAGTTATTATAGTTTTTTTTACTTAGATTTGTAATTATTTTTTTAATTTGTTGTGCCCTTTGTCAGTATTGTTCAAAGTTTTTTAAAGGATTTTTCATGTTAATATTTAGGTTCGAATCAAACAGAGCTTTTTTTCTCTTACTTTTGAAAAAAGGAAAATGATAATAAAATGATATATTTTAAGCCAATTCTGTGATTACCTCAAAGTGAAATTACAATCAATATATCTTACTTAGGTGCTTTGTAATTGCATTATGAAAAGGATCACAATTCAATTGAATATTATTTTGGCTTAATAAAACTATATCTTCGTTAATTGAAAACGATTTCCGTAACGCATTTTTTAATTAGTTTAAATTAATTTTTATGATCGCCAATACAATCGAGTAGCTATGTCACCTGGTGGTAAATGGCTACGGACATCCTCGGACGCTTGGTTCAATCCATAAGTCAGAGGATAGTTACCGGCCTTTGGAGTGGGAATATTTTCCGAAATACCGCAGGCGATAGTTTGTTCAGCAGACTACTGCATTTAGAGTACAATCTAAGTGATGGGAATAGAAGTTTGGTAGTGTTGAACGCTGGCAGTAACCTGCACCTTACAAGTCAGAACAATTCTTCGAAGCAGTCCCTTGATCTCTACGCAACGCTACAGGATTAAGGCGATGCGATATATTCTGCCGACTGTTCTACTCGCTCTCCATTATAAGCAGTCTACAGAAGTGTGTCCTTGAGGTTGCCCATTTAAATTTAAAGTAAATATTCTACATTTATGGGGGCAAATTAAGGGGCCTCTCTTAAAGAAATCAATTAAATCATAAGAAATTGTAATATAATGTATTATTTACACCTCTTTACAATTTTAAGTCGGTAATAAAAAAATAGTTGTAATTTATATATAACTCTCTACGCGAGTATCAATAAATAAATTATTTTGGTGCAAACCGAGTGTTTTTTTTTCAAATTCAATTATATTATTTCCAACAGTAACGTTGAATCTGTGAGCGTGTGTTGAATTATTTAGTATAAGTATTACAGTAAACGCTAGAGATCGCTATGTCTTATATAAAAGTAGAGAGACGCTCCTCTTTATGACTCGAGTCTAGCCGAGACATATAAGTGATATTTTCAGCTATTTTCAGAAAAGATTTTACTGTACACACGTGGCGTAAATAAATAATATGTGCTCAGGACAACATACAGGTATTCTTTATAAAAATTGCAGACAATCTACACATTTAGAGACAGATCTTTTATTCTACATCGAAGGCCAGCAACGCAGTCGTGATATCCATTGCGTGTATCCATGAGAGCGATAGTCACTTAGCAGCAAGCGGCGAGCCTGCTCCTTAGCTTGTCAAATGTTAAATAAACATCTTTGTAGTTGAATCATCTAGCTGGTCTACAGCAATAATTGTTACCATTACTTTATAATTTTCCTCTGGTTGTTCTTGTTATGAATATGAAAGTGAGTGCAATATGTTATATAAACGAATTAATATGTCTTTCGTGTCCGCAAATAGGGCTCACATCTGTGACGGAGATGGATCGCCCCACGGCAAGTCATGATTGCGTAACAGCTTCTCAAATTAAACCGCTCATAATGTATAAGATATCGTACCGTACTTTGTACAGCGCAGTGTTTCATAGTTTCAGCCTTAATGGAGAGAAACCATTAACTACTAGGGATAAGAATTCCATATAAAATTTGAAATTGCTTAAATATTTAAATTTTACAGGATTTGATCCAACAAAATTTTAGGAGATTGGTGAACCCATGTCTAAGACAAACTTGACTTAAATACTAACTTTAAAGTAGGTTGAAGTAAGTGTAAGTAAGCGGAAGTTAATTATTTTAATTACCAACTTAAACCTGTATGAATTTCGGTAGCGATTAAGAGCGCGTGGTTTTTAGAAATCTGTTGTTTTTGTGAAAATATAAACTAAAGAGATTTGATACATAGCTTATTAATGTTTTTAAATATGTATTTTAGGATAGAAACTCTTCCACTGGATAATTGTGCAACTGACTGAGAGCCTCAAGAAAAAGCCTCAAGAATCAGTAAACCAGTAACAAGTAGTACGACAATATATTCTTCAATGAACTTCTAATATTATTTTGACGCTATTCTTCAGCATACATACTTGAAGCTAGCTCTTTCATTTTTAACCGACTTTAAAAACACAAAAGAGGATCAATTCGTCTGTATTTTTTTTTATGTTTGTAAGCCTAAGTAATGTGGATAACAATATATGTTCAGGCTCAAATGTAACATCTTAATACCTCATCTAAATAAAGTAACGGACCTATTAAACTATATTGAATAAAATCTAATATACTACAGTTCAGTACTTTACATCTTTAAATGTACATAATACTCTCATATACTCTTTAATGCACCTACTTTCTATATCACCCTAAGGTGGACCGGCAACGAATAATTTCAGAATTAGGTCCGGCTCTGTACACATTGTGCATCTTTACATGGTATAAAATTAGGTCGCTTTTTGTTCTTGTACGCTTAGATTTTTCGAAGGACGCAAAGGATTTTAAATGTTTGAGGATTCCAAAGATTTGTAAGGTGAAGTCGTATGAAACTTGTGTTTGTGCGCTTAAATGGCAAACGTAATTTCCTTGCTCAAAAAGGGCCTATGCAGTGTAGGTATTCTTACCCATAAGTATGTATATTACAAATTCATGTCAAAAAACCTCACCTGGAAGATAGGTTTCAATACCGCACTTTGCCACCGTCCCTCCAAAAATTTTGAATTTTCGTTAGCTGCGTCAAATAATGAAAATTCAAAATCTGGAAGGTGTTCTTTCTGTCCAAGGTTCAAGGACCGCAAATCACGAACACAATGTGCACGTGCAAAACATTTATTTACATATAATGAGCACGAAAAGAAAATTTCCCAAAGTTGTTTAAGTGCCTAATATAATGTGTCTTATTTGTGTTCAATGAGACCACAATTAATGTAAGAAAGCTTATGTAAGTTGATTTCTAATAAAATATTTTTTTTGGGGTGTGCCTGTACGCCAAGGTACCGTTAATGAAATTCTTATATGGGTACGGTTCCGGTTAAGGTTATTATTGACCGTAGGTATCGCACAAAAGTAATATCTACATGAGTATTCCGTGAAAACAGTCTACACACAAACAAGTTAGCGGCCCGTGGAGAGGCCCGGCGCGCTGCGGCTGTTTGATTAATTACAGTGCAGTTGTTGACCGTATGCGATATTTATTAAATTGTTTTCGAAAGTTTTTGTATTTGAAAATTATAAAGTAAAGTTGATGAATGTTCCCACGGCAAATTCCAATGATTTTCAACTCAGAATCATGGTCTGAATTCACTATTTTAGTATTCGTTATGTATATAAAACATATTATACATAATGAATTACTCTACAGCGACACTATATTAGTTTCAACATTTCACCCGTGCGAAGCCAGGGCGGATCGCGAGTAAAGTAATAAATAAATAAAGCACATGAAATAGAATTTACTTGCTCATTATCAATTATATAGTGGTGACTACTGCCTAGTTCGACATCAACTTGTGATTCCTGTAGTAGTTAGCACATTGCGTACCTCGGCCTCTTAATTAGCTGAAATTGCAAACCGTAACTCATGTAGTAATGAATAATAGACAACACAGCCTAAAACAATCCCTGTTTAATTGTTTATATGCTATACACACTATTTATCAGTGTGCCAACTACACACGATTTTGAAAGGACATAATAATTGTTTTCCAAAATCACGGCATTCGATCGTAAGCCTGTGACTTTGGCCTTTCAGATATGTAATAGCTATTACATGATTTATATCACGCAACAAGTTTAATAAATTAGTTAAATTTCATCACAGACAGGTCGTCTGTAATGAAATGTAACTGTAACGACTGTAGAGTGAAAAAAGCCCGCGTCAGATCAAAAAATAAATATGAATACACCGCACTAATTCAACCTTAAAATACACGTGTCTGTAAATAAATAAAGAGGCCTGTATGAATATCATTCATGAATTAACAAAACCGTTGTAGTAAATCATGAACTAAATCAGAGGCTATTGTTTATGGTAGATACAAAGCGGTTAGCAGTGAATAATCGCGGCCTCACAATAAATCTATAGTAAAGCATTACAATTGTTTACCAATTAACCCTCTAATGGCTAAAACTGTGAATAATTTGTAGTAAATCAGTTGGCGGCATCGCGCAGCTTAGTGTTGACCACGATTCATATGTGTGTAGGGAGAGGGTAGAGGCATTCACTTCCATGTGTGAAAGAGCGTCGAGGTGGCAACCCTGCAAGTTTTAATTTTTTGTAGTACATGTTTCAAGTTTATTTAAATTACTAAAGAAGACAACGAGAAGGGGAGAAAGAGGAAAAATAAAAATCTTCACCGTGCGATTAACTACCACCAAGAGCGTAAGACAATCGCATCGTATCGTAATCCTAACTGTTTACGTCAGTTAGCCGTGTGCTTGTTTCACAAGGTACTTACGTAAAATAAAACATTTTAATTTTTTTCTTATTTGGTACATTAGGTATAGGAGGTAAATAAGCACGCTAAGTGACAACCGCGGACCCACGGACACCTGGAAATCTAGAGTCATAAGTGCGTTGCCGGCCTTTAGACGCGGTCCCAGAATTAAGGAGAAGAGTTACCTCCCATATTTCTAATTGCAACTTCAAATTTAATTCACACATTTACTTAGGGTGTTTATCAATTTATATTTAGCCAAACCTATAGCACATCTACTTTTTAAATATTAGTAAACAAATTAACCGAGTGGATTGTAGTGCGTGGCAACCCTGTACGTGTGCGCTCACGTGTCCGTGTTGTAATAGGTGTACGTTGAGTCGTATATGTGCTAATTATCTTGTGATTGTTTTAGGTCACTCTGCCCCGCGCCCCCCATACCACCACCGCCCCCCGACCTGCAGCCAGCCGCGCCGCACCGCGGGAACCGTGAATTGCACTTATTATCAAATAAGGCCGACTTTACAGTTGTCTGTGCCTTCCATGTAATGTTGTTTCGTATGCTCTAATATTATTTTGTTAACAACGTTATGAAATAAATACGAACAAGTACTTTTAGTTTGATTAAGTTAAACTAAGTATGTAAATAGATAGATAGATAGATAAATACTATACATACATACGTATATCATAACATAACATATGTATCTGACTCGTGTCTGAGGTGGATGGTGTTCTTTATTCATAAGGTGAGAAAATTGCTGTAGCTCACATTTAGATTAAATATTAAATTGAAACAGTTATTTTTGAAATACGCTCAAATAAGCTACAGTCATCAAGAATCAACTAGGTAATTAACGCTGTAATTAAATCTCTACTAAAATCATTATTTTATTGGTAAACACTGCTAACTAGCAATGTACTGTTAACAATTGCGAGACTTCGACATTAAGGGAACAAATACATTCACAAAACGGCTCCATTACCTGTTTACTTTATTGGTTATTAAAGCGATCGTTGAAAGAGATGGTAAGAAATAGAGATGGCACGAATAGTGATTTAGCCGAATAACGAATATTCAGAGAGTCTCTTCGCCGAAGCGCCGAATATTCGGCAACACTTAGTCCTTTCGCAGGTGACACGATTAAACCTGCATTAGTAAAGTGGACAGCAAACACAAAACAATATCGTAACCTAACAGAATTTGCTAAGATATATTTATCATCTCCCGGAAGCAGTACATTCAGTGATAGGCTATTCTCCAAAGCACGTATAATTTATGATAAAAAGCGCAACAAATGCTCAACAAATAGTTTTCGTTAAAATGGTGCACTATTTTTTTCGTGATTTACTATTTGGTGTTCCGCCGAATAGTTTGCAATATTCAGCCGAATATAGAATAGTGAAAAAATGACCGAATAACTGAATACCCAATAGTGGCCGAATATTCGCGGCCTCTCTAGTAAGAAAGCCAGGAGTTGGAGAGTGTCGGCGCTATAGTGCACAACACCACACGGCATAGAGCAATTAATTGATTGTAGCACTGCCGGCGGTTTGTCCGGCGTTCGTTCCACTACACCTCGTAATTAGCATAATAGAGAGCACTCGGCGTCTGTTGCCGCTGTTGCTTCCTGCTGTTTGCTCGCACACCGCCGCTACGCACGACGGATTGGCTTATGTCTATCGCATTACCGACAAGGACTTACAAAGTAATAATGTACTATTTGTTTTAGTCTGATTAATACCACGACTAACTAGTAATGGTTTTCACCTAGTAGATATTCTGCTAGGTAGTATTGCCGTGCCGTGTACTAGTGTCTCCGAGCCATCCAAGGTCGGTCGGTCTCCCAGACAGCCCCAAGAAACATATGGCGCGGCGATAGCGGCAATGTTGATGAACCACTGTGCCATGCCCTGGAGTAGAAGATCCTGAACATCGGTACCGTGGCCCACATTCACCTGGAGGATGCGGAGATGTGGATCCATTCTTATTGGACCCCCACCTATAGGCACCGGAAGCACCTAGCCGTCCGGGCCTGCAGAAGTCGTGCCTGCGCTCTTAGGAAACCGCCAAAAAGGAGGCTTCGCCCATCGGCGATCTTTGGGCAGCGAGTTATTTTAAAATAATTAATTTGTTCCTCTGTGGCTTGAGCTAAGTCCCAGAGTGGCACAGAACCAATTGGCGGCGCCAGGCGAACAAATCATAAGAATTTTTTCTCTGTATTAGCAGATAATTTGAGAATCACAAAATGACTGTCGGCTAAATTTGTTCCTTGATTCTAAAAAAAAATTTCAGTGAGAGAATTTAAATGACTTAAATCAAAGTATTTGACCTAATTTGTAAAGATGAGGCCATTGTCTAAGCGCGGTGCGGTAATAGGTGACGTGTGTGTCACGCTTTAATATGCTACAAACGAGATACAAATGTAGTGTTCCTCTTGCGCTTTGATTAAGACCGCCATCACTATTGCATGGAGGGGCCGGCAATGAACGAGACTACGGACTCGTTAGAAACAATTGCTCTGAATATGAAGTGTGTGAATTCCATAGCAAAATTCATTGAAAGGACTGTAACAATTAATATGGGATTTTGTCTAGAATTCTATGCTTGTGTCTCATTTCATTATTAGTTGGCTTCAATGTCTCTCTCTTTATTTGCTACAATTCAGTCATGAATAGCTCAGTTCTCTATAGATCATATTTTTCGAAGAAAGTGAGTTTACATTATCCGATTGTCTTCTGGCTAAACGCTCCTCCTTAGAATTGAAGGCGGGATAATGAGCTCATCAACTATTTCTTATGTTCCATTGCTGGACCGTATGTCCAGCAGTGGAAAATTAGAAAGAATGTGTGGAGATGTCGTACTTACAATCTAAATGGGCACCTGCAACTCAAAAGTCCAAAGTGTGTTGCTACCCTTGGAGTCCCTGTCGCTCGAGTCAGCGGGAGGGGGGATTTGGGCTCCGGTAACCTCACTCACTCAGTGAAAGGCAACGAAGGCAAGGGAAGGCAAAAGTTTCGTGTCCTCTTGACTAAACTTATAAGTTATATAATAGTTAATTTAATTATTTTACTCATATAGATATACATCCTGCGCATTTGGTACATAGGTCGACTTTATAAGGTATACATATGTATACATAGATATACATAGATATAGATAGATATAGATAGAAATAAAAGCTGTTATTATTTTCTGAAAAACTTATGAATTTCAAATTGTAGCAAGTCTAAAATAGTAAAATGTAAGTATATTTGTAAGATATATGATTGAATACCTTACAGACAATGACACAACTCACGGTGTGATCCGGACGTAAGGGAGCGAGCAACGTGCCCTTGCAAATTTAAACCTTTCAAGTCTACGTTTTAAACGTCTGCAGCGACGGAAATAAGCTTGTCAATAAGATGTTGATACCCGTCTAGCTGTGACGTCACATGAGGCACTAACTCGCGTAAATCGAGCCACCGTTCGTAACGCTTACTTGATATTATACAAAAACGGGAGGTACCACGGAAACTGTTGACCAACTCACTTTGGCGTTTAATTCAATAATAGAGTAGTATCATTTTGTCTTTTAAAAATAAACATAAATAAACTTATAAATTGTAGAAAAAAACAATAGGGATAGTAGAGATCATTCGGTTTTTATTGGATTACCTAGTTTTTATGTGAGTGATTAAACAAAAGTGGCTCTTCGGAACGTGAGGCATGTTGATCTGCAGATTTTCGAAGAAATTCTAAATAATGCAGTGATTCATAAATATAAGCTTTTTACTAAATCCTAACTTGTATTTAAACAATATCAAGCCTCTTATTGGAAAGACTTACTTCTTAGGACTATGAATAAGCTTTGGAATAAAACTCACTCGCTTCTCGTTTGTATGAAGACATTAGGTGGCGTTGACGCGAGATGATATCGCTTAAAACCACATACATCAGACGAACGGATTTAAAGTGGCAGAAGCCCAAGTCGTTACAGTGCCTCTCGAATCTGCAAGATTGCTACCTCTCTTCGCAAATATTTAAAATTGAATCAATAGCCTATTTCACAAACACTCTTGCACAAGACCTCACGGTCTTGTCTTAAACAATTATGTTGGTACTTACTTCGCCGTAGTTCCAGTTTAAAAAAAAAATTAACACTAGTGTGTGGAACAAGCAGAAATGTTTAAATATATAAAGAAGATTACTTGGATCAAAGCTACGTTAGTTTTTTTAATGCATCCTTAATATCTGGTTTAGCTTATGTGGTACCTGCCGCGTAGTGCTGTGGTATCAATATGTAATAGTTGCAGTGTTTTGTTACAAGTTGTGACGTCACACCTCGTTACTTGTCTCTGGCAGGTGTATCAGGTACTTCCTTACACCTTAATCATATTTTTCGTATCTGTTTATTAGACACCTTCTATATAAATTCACAAATACACCTACTATACTGTAGCCTGTTTTAAATATATGCGACAAATATACGAAAATAATAGGTAAAATGACAATTTAAAGTACTCAAAGACTCGAACGTTGTTTATAGGTCTTAGGTATTTGATTTCAACGATATGAATGCTCTATACCGTATGCCTAATACATACTTGTAGGTATAAATCGTAAAACAAGTTTAGCTCGCTTTTCCGCCAGATTAACAGATTAGGTAATTTTATTGAATCGCCTCCAGCCTTGTTGGAGAATTGTTTTTTTAACAGTTAAGTGTAGGCAATTAGGTGCACGTGGACTTTAAAGGCTCCGCCTCGAGCCTCCTGCGCGCTCCACTTCGGCAGCTGTGGAGTAGGCAGATTAAAGGGAATAAAATTGTTTTTATTCGTTGGATTAAGAGCTTCTTCAATAGCTTATTCGTTGGAGAGCTTTAGCCGTGCGCCGGGATTTTATACTTACGTATCGACGTGGGACAACGCCGAAATACAGTTTTTTTGCAGCGGTCCAGTCCACTATGCCATCTGTGCAGTCATTCTTTGTTACGTAATTATATCTGGCTGATTTGATTTTCTTATTGATTTCACTTTAATTTCTACAGGCTACCTACTCTAACCACAAAACTATGCCGAAATAGATGGTGTAATAAGTGAAAATAATATACTGACATTTAATGTTTTGATGTACAGTGCCCCCTATATACATACGTACCACATCAACAAGTAGGTACTCGCCCTACGCTGTGGTGATGCTATTCCATAATGCATGGCAGTTATATAAACAGACAGTAAGTGAGAAATACGAGTCGTTTGTCAAGCGATATCTCTGAACATTTAAATAGGGCGCTCATTACTGCGCAGGCAATGTTCCGGCTTGTTCCACCCAATAAATCGAACTGTAGATAATATGACAACAATTACAATACACATTAGTCGCAGACCGCCACACCTATTTAATGACAATGGTAATGACACTGTCGTCATGTCTCTACTTTTGATCAATTAATTTAATAATCAATTAAAGTACTGCAATGTAAATTTATTTATCCGTGTAATTTTAAATTATCCGACGGATCAAGAATGCAGAATGTCGCCACCCCTATTCATCCCGTCGGTGTCGTAAGAGCAGACTATGGGAGAA